ATAGAATAAAATACAATAACCCATTTTACAAAACATGTGTACATTTAATGTGCACATTAAAGTAGAGTTTTTGTCTAAACATTTTTTAGCTGAATTCAGCTCTCAATTCTTTCAGAGCATATCCTAAGCATCTCAACAACAGACTTTACATATATAATTCAAAAAAGCTAGGCTTCCCAGAGGACCATTACTCAGAATTACAGATTAAAATTAACACATATCTGTTGTTTTATTATTGAACAGAGAATCAGACTGCAGAGCTTCTAGAGATCTGGAAAATTATTTTTTCTTGCATCTTTATATTGGTAGACAGGTTCATAAATCTGTTTTTAAGCAGAGAAGAGACACAATTAGGGAGAGCTGCTGATTTAAAGGTGAAACAGATTTACTGGGATATGTAACATGCACTAAATTTATCTCCAAGTTTACGAGAAAAAATATGGTGTGCTATAATAAAATTCAACATATTTTTTTGTCTTTTGGATTTCGGCAAGATTAACAAATAGCTGTGCCAGCCAGCCCAGAGAGAGTCAGACTCACAGGACACAGACTGACAATTAAAATATAAGAAACCTGCAAGAATCAAAGCACAGTGTATAAATGATTTTTGAAATATAAGGTTCAATATATAGACTTTGACTGTCAGTGACATATGGTACACATTTCTAAATTTGATTTTGCTGCCTGTGAAGGAGGATAATCACCGATGCAGCTTAAAGGGAAGCCATGCATGGATGGATGGATGAATTGAATACTAGGGATGTATGATATATTGATGTTGGCATTGGTATCAACTGGTTTTCATAAATTTTTATACATTAATGTTTTTGAGACGGTTATAAATAATGCACTAAAGGCAAGCATCTGTCTATAACTATAAATATCAGTGTACTGTGGTACTCTTGTGTTCTCAACAATAAGAAAGCATTCAATTAGTATATGTTTGAGCTCATTTTTGCAACATATAAACCCTATTGAACGCGTTTGGGTTGAGTAGCTGTAGGTCCATCAGCCCCCACCCTTAGAGCGTTCCCACCAACTTTTATCACCAAGTTACACCCTTGCAACTTTTGACCTGGTTATATTAGTTTACTCTGGTCATAAATGTTCTCCAGGTCTCTGTATTAGCGGACTTGATAAGATGCTGAAAAACAATGATCCCTTACTTTTTTGCTTTGTGACTGGTACCTAAGCTTTTGGACAAACTAGCATTTATTTTCCACTCCTTTACCATTTCTTTATGAAAACTAAATCATCTAATGAAATGCAACTTTAACACTTGATGATTCACTGTGAGTATGTTATTATTTTTAAGATGTTCAGTTTTATTTCTGTCTGAAAAAGTATGGTTTCTTACAGATCGGTTTCTTAAGACTTTAGCACCCAGAAGCTTTAAGAGACTTCTATTAAGGCTCATTTTTTTCTTAGGCTGTTTTGCAACTGTATGCCTAAATAGTTTTTTCACTGAGGCCATATATCTACCTATAATTACTGATTACTGTCTATAGACAATGCTATATATTTTTGCACTCTTTTTTGTGGCTGATACCTTTTGGCTATGAAATGATTTTTATCCTTTATAAAGTCCCTGCAAATAAATGATACAAATGAGCAAATATAAGATTATAGTAGGGAAGCTGAACCTTTTTTTCCGCTGTTTATATTCACTTTAATGTTAGATTTGAAGATGAAATATCTTCGTGAACTGCCACAAAAACAACCATTAAGCAGTTTTAAACACGCTCTGATTTGAATCTATGTGTCTTCATTAAAAAAGTTTTAATTACTATTTTTTTAATTGGTCTGATTTAATGGTCCAACCCTAAATTAACAGCTTTTATCAGCTGTAAGTAGTGGAAAAAAATCATTAAAAAACAAGAATATGGCTTGAGAACACCAATTTGTGTATCATAAATCTATTTGTTCACTTACAGCAGTGATGACTTATGAATTTAGTTACTAAAAAACATGATATTTTCTATAATGTTCCAAGTTACTGAATATGACTCTTTAAATGTAGAAGATCTTCTTCTATTTGGATTTTTAGAGCTTTGTTTCATCATCATCATTGTAAATTAATCCTGCATCAAATTCTTATTCATTTAATGAAAAACATGATATTTTCTATAATGTTCCAAGTTACTGAATATGACTCATTAAATGTAGAGTATCCTGTTCTCTTTTGATTATCCTTGTGAATTAATCTTGCATCAAATTCTGCTGAAAGCAAAGGTGAAACACAACAAGTAACAAATAATAATTTAAAAAAAAGAAATCAGGAATATTTTGTATTTTCTTTTTATTCAGTAAGATGGAGCAACTTTCCTTTTCACCAGATGGTGACACTGTGGAGCTTAGACCAAACCAGACATTCAAGGCAACCTCACTTTGTTTGCATTATGGCCTCAATTATTTGCATTTAGTCTAAACTGTGACATTAGTCTCCATCAATATTAGCCTACATAACTGTAGAATAATAACACAGAGGACGTCAGAGTGAGTTTTTCACAGCGTGGATGTGGGCGGAGTCTCCCCCCCTCCTCTTTGCATGTTGTCATCGTGGAGATAGGTGCTTGAGTGGATGGATATCGCAATGGTCCGTGTTCCTTCAGTCTGGAGGCTGGGACTGAAAGTGGGAGATGTTGGAGCCCTTCTGGTTTGATCTCTAGGATAACTAACCCGCACGAGAAGCTGGATAGGACGCTGTAAGGTAAGCCCTCATTCTACCTCTCAACCCTCCAGTTAAATGAGAAAAAGTGGATCTCTGGAGGTGAAAGTAAGGAAGCGGACAGGGTGCAGACTGCTGTAACGGTGGACACAAAGGATAAAGTTGCTCTGAGATGCTGAAGATACTTTAGTCTAAAAAAGTTTGATAAAAAGCGAAAGTCATATTTAAACTTTATTTGTAACTTGTAGCCTATTAAAGAGCATGCCTTTTGTTCAGTCAAACTTGATCTGTTTGTTAATTGCCGCACATGGAAGACTTGCAGAGTTAAAGCAAGTTATTTGAATTTTACGCCTGAAAAATATTTATTTATTTATTTTGTTATAATAAAGGTTTACATTTAATAAAGAAAAAAAAGCCAAAAGAGTGCGTGCGCGTGCCTGCGCGCTACACAGCATAATTTCTTAATCTGAACGGTAGGGGGCGACAAAGCTGTCAATCTCAGCCTTATGTTTTAATGAAGCCAACTCTGCAGCCCCATTCACAGATGTTGTGTTTAATTCTAGTGTGATATTCATTGTTTTTATATATGAATTCTCATGCAGTCGGAATGTTGTTGTCCCTTGTGGTTATTGTATTTCTTTATTTGTTTTTTGCTTGTATATTCAGACAAAGAACACTTTCCCCTAACGTCACTGTTGTTTGGGTTCTCCATAAATATTAACAGACAGTCTGCATGTAAACATCATATACAATCCTGCTGTACAGCTGGGTCCTCCTGCAGCCCATTCATCTCTAACTCCCTGCACAGAGTTCCCCTCTGGGAGATTCAGTCAAATATTGTTTGTCTTCCAGCTCCATATCCTTTGCTGTCTTCCTGCAGGAAGTTTTGCCTCTGAGCAAAAAAAAAGAAAGAAATATTCCCAATAAAAGTGCAGTCTCCAGTAGGATGAAAGCTGACGACTGGAACTAGTTTTAATCCAAGATTTTACTCCTTAATTAGATTTTTTTTATGGATTTATTCTTGGAGTGTTAAGATCAGTGTGAGAGCTATATTTTCACAGGGCTTAATGTCTGGGAAAGATTACATTTTTTTGTTGGGCTGTGCTGAGTTAAGTATTGGCACAGGAGTGTTTTAATATCGCTAAAGCCTCTCTGTAGCCTGGAATAGCATTCAACATTTCTTTTCCTTTGACTCTAGTAATGGACTGGCTGAATTCCAGCTACCGCAAGTTTGCTTCTCAGGGAGGCAATATTTCAAATGACTGTTAACCCAAATGGCTCTAAGTACATCTGTAGTGAGGTGTGAAAAAAATCAGTTGTTACTGGGACTGAAACTTTACCCACATAATTCAAATCATTCTACTTGATCCCATTCTTTTAAACTGGGATTGAGGAGCCTGTGCTTTTGTTGCAGCACTCAAATGGATCTAAGAATAGTAGGGATGAGAATCAGATGCTTGTAGGAATACCAGAGGAATATTATGTTGTTACAGTTGCTCTGTTGCTATGTTTTCCTAATGTGCATCTGAGAAATAAGCCAAAATAAGAAAAAGATATTTAATTCATTCTATAATATGGATATGTTTTCAATGAGAAATATAAATAGAAACATTCTACTCATAGATAAATAAAGACTATTTAATCACATTTTTAGCTGAATAGTGCCATCAAAAATGATTTGGATACAAGAGATTGACTGGTTTAGGTGTTATTTAGGGAGGGGTTTTGGGAGAAAAAAGGGAGTATTGATATGAGTCATATAAAAACTCCCACAAAGCAAGCTCACTAAACCCCAGCAAACAGTTGGGTTCAATGAGCCTCACTCTTATGGGTTCGCTGAACTCAAGTCTCCATAACAACCAATATGCCAATTGATTGGTTGTGAAGTGGGCAAAAGGAAGTTTTTGTTCCCTCCTACATCACCAATGCAAAAAATTTGGAGTTTTCTAATTAAAATAAATATGCACTTTTGTTTAAGGAGACATCAATTGGATTTTTGCGGCACACATGTTGGGATTTGGTGAAACACATTATGGTCATTTTAATGCCCCTTTCCCACTGGCCAAGAAACCAGTTTAAACCCGCGAACAATCAGCTTTGAGTGGCAGCGGGAACGGCTCACTGAACCGGGTCAAACGAGTCAATTGGCGGTTGACACGCAAATTTACGTGATACCATTGAATGCAACATTCAGCCAAAACAACTCTTCTTACATTTGATAAACATGGAGCAATGCTGGTAAGAAGGATTTGGATGGAGAAAACCGCAAAACAATAAAACACACTGACATTTCTGATTTCTGTCGCACTGATGACATCATCAACGCTAACCCAGTGTAATGGCGTCACCAGACACGCAAAAGTGGGGGGACAGATGCAAAGCAGCTTGCCAGTGAGGGGGTTAGACCCAGCTTTTTCCGTTAATAGGAAGCGAGCCAAAAGCCTTTTGTTAGTGGGTTGACCTGTGTTTAAAAACCCACATTAAGCCGTTATTTCCAGTGGGATGGAAGCTTTAGGTACAGTGTTGGTCCTGTGATGCTCAGGGCCTTTTTCTCTTTCAAAAACTTGAAAATAATACAAAATTTCATAGAAAGATCTGTTGGACCTCTTATGGAAAATGAGCTGTTATCGGGTCTTTCAGTAGGATAAGGATTAGAAATTTTTGGTTTGATTAACACCGATGTTTGTTATCCCACATAAATCTTTCTCCCTCATGCTCATCTCAGTTCCCTGACCTAGATCTTATAAAAAAAAAACAAATTTAGGGTAATCTTAAGATGAGTCCATAAGGGAGGGACCAGAACTCTGTACAATCTAGATTACAAAGAAATATTATCCCCATTCATTTCTTGCGAAATAGAGAAGTCTAAGTGCTTTATTACAAGCAAAAGGGAGTTTTTTTTTTCCTCTAAAGAAAATTGAGGATTTTTAAGTCATATCTGACTGAACAATATGGCATAAAAATCTATCTATATGGCTTTTTTTCCGATCGGTTAATAGTTTTTTTTTCCTCCCTTAAGTTTCATAATAAAACATGACAAATGACATACAGTACTTTCACAAACTCGCTTTTATTTCAATCATCCCTCTGGGAGGTGACCTTAATTTAAAGGCCAATGAAATTCAAGCTGTAAAGCAAGCTTGTAAAACAATCATGTTTCACAACAAGCAATAAAAATATAACCCACTAAATGTTTGAAGCTAGTGGCAATACACTGTGAGCTTGTTTATCCGTTTGGAGTAGACGTCTAAGAATTGATGTCATTGTGAGCTATGGAAGCACAAGGAGTGCATCTGTTGAAAAAAAAAATTAATCATTAAAAAAACGATTAGTCACCCAGCCCTAAAAGCATGGGTGTCAATAATTATTCCAGCAGCGAAAAAGGCTTTTTTTTTATATCTTACCAGAAGAGCCAATAAACATAGTATACAGTCTGGACTTTTTCTTCCACAGTGGATCCACAGGGATAAAATGTGTACGAAAGGCAAGAGTTTCTTTATCGAGGAAGAAAAAAAGGCAGTCTCAGGAAGCCCATCTTTGTGGCTGGCGGCAGCATGCTCCTCGACACAGGCTTACTCAGCAGCCTCAATAATGGCAGTGAGGTGGTGAGGTCTTTGAGTCTTTCCCTGAATAGAGATTTTATGCATTATGCCTGTAGCAGGGTGCACAGGGGGCCTTGAAGAAGAAATATGTTTTTCATCTTTTTCTAACAACACATTTTGCATTATAAACCAGACAATGGTTGATTGGAGCAGACAGGTATGTCTTTAGAAATTAATAATATGCGCAGGGTGTTCTGAGCTGAACAATAAGCCACCTGTCAGGTTTAGACGAGAAACGGCTTCCCAGGACAAGCCTGCAGGCCATATCCAGTTGTTATCATTGCTGAGCTGCTTAGGGTGTCTTCTGGTCTGTGGCCTTGGAGACGCCCTGCTTGAGTTACAGCTTCTATCTTTGGTTTGGGAGGAAGAAATTGTTGTGAAATGTGTTGCCACTCTACACAGCTTACTTAAGCTGATGCCTGATTTTATTGTTCAGGCTGGTCATGTGGTCTTCCCTCCTGTTTCTCAAGGTTCTTTCCTACTGCTATGATGACTAGTTTTGATTAGTACAACATTTTGAAAAGCTATAAAGGTTTGGGATTCAGACCACAGAATTGTTGCATTTTTTTTCATTTCACAATATACCAGAGAAACCTGCTAGAGCATGTGGCAGGCGGATTTCTGACAGATCCCACATCCTGTGCATGTGACAAGGATAAGGGAAACCTGGTCTGGTGTGTGCCAGCTGACTGGCTAAGTGTCTGGCGTGCAGACAGCCACATTAGACCACCCTCACCCCCCCCATCGCATCAAACCAAATCCTGTTGCATCAAAACCAACCAACCAGCAGACAGGCGAATCACATGTTCCATGCTGCTGTTTGGACAGACAGTTTTTCCTCTGGTCATTTTATCAGCCTTTGTTTTGATTGCTGTCTGGATTTATGAGGGAATTTAAGCCCATGAATCCCTGTTAGGGGAAGCAAGGATGAAGTCATGAAGGCGTTTTTTTTTCAGACTGATATCCTGGGGAGTGTTTACGAGATATTTGAGTGATTTTGTTAGCTATGAATGTGCAGCATTCTGATTCCAGATTAGTTTTTGTTCAATCTGTAAAGATTATTTGCTTTTTTTTGTTTGTTTTTAGTGTGCATGTATTGTTACTCAAGATCATGCATATGTAATCATGTACCTGAATGAATCCAAGGAAGACCAAATGATCCCTCCCCCTCTGGTACCATCTATTCTCTCATTACACCATAGACCCAAAAGAGATGTTACAGCCTGTGGTGCGTTTCTTGGGAATCAGTGTTCAGTTCTATTTTGCCTCACTGCTTGTTTAGTAATTTGTGTTTTAGATTCCCTGTGTTTGTTAAAGATGTGTTCGAGCAAATCCAGTGGAGCAGGAACAGATGGACGATGCATTTAAAAAGCATAACACTACTGGTGCTTTACATGGTATTTGGGGAAGTCTCTTCAGCATCTGTTTGCTGTTCTTGCT